CTCAGAATTGCGTTCTTAAACATATGCTCTAATAATGTTGTAAACAATTTTGGCGAAATTGTGTCTCTCTATCGCACTCTCCGTTTTATTTTAAATACGTTGGTCTTTTTATCTGCCAGTTTCACGCTTGCTGTCCCATTTTGATAGATGTATTTTATCATGTTTATATAGCGATGATCTATACGGCACTCTGTTAAGGCTTTTAACATCTTTTGATGACTTATTGTGTCGAAAGCTTTTTCGTAGTCAACAAATATCATCACTAATGGCTTGTTATAGTCAACACTCTTTTCTATTAAGTTCTTAATTACTTGTAAATAATCATTCGTGCCATATCCTGCTCTAAAACCTGCTGCTTGCTCTCTTGGCTGATAGAAATCCAACTTACTTCCTAGCCTGTTGGTAATAACTCTTGTAAATAGCTTATATACTTGTGACAACAAGCTAATGGGGCGATAGTTTCTAAGGTCACTGATATCTTCCTTCTTATGAAGTAAGATGATTTCCGCGTTGTTCCACTGCGTCGGTGTTATCGTTTCGCACAGACATTTATTGAACAGTTTAGCAAGTGTCAGTAAGAGCTTATTTCCTCCTAGTTTTAGGCTTTCGGTCATTACCTTGTCTTCACCTGGGGATTTAGTGTTCTTCATCACCCAAAGTGCATTTTTAATTTCGTATAGTATACTTTTGGACATATGTATAGTTATCTTTCTCGGTCAACACAAGTTGTCCTTTGCCCAACTGATTCCGGAATACTTAGAAGAATCTGTCACGAGTGATTTAGATTTTCATGTACCATTCTTCTACCGCTATATCCATGACTGTATCTGTGCTATTCCAACAAATAAAATGACCGAAATTTTAGATAATTTCAACAGTTACCATCCAAAACTAAAGTTCACTATAGAAATTGATCAAAATATTAAAATAAATTTTCTTGATATTACCTTACATCGCACTACCAATACAGTTAAAACCATGTGGTTTACAAAAGAAAAATGGCCTTCACGATATCTTAACTACAATTTTCATCATCGATTCTCCCATAAGAATAGATTAGTGGTGATAGACTACTTTACTACCCACCAATCTACATAGGACCCCATCATTATTTAATGGTGGTTCCTGTGCCAAAGGACACCGTCAGGCTGATGTGTAACTTGGGCAAAAATACATCTCCTGGTCCTTATGGCATACAAAGAAGATACCTTAAAAAGCTTCCAGGGAGTATTATTCCGCTGCTTACAAACACAATCAATGTATGCCTCTCGTTAAACTAGTTTTTTACTCCTGGGAAAGTAGCTAACACAGTCATGATTCTCAAACCAGGGAAACTTCCAACTAGCACTGAATCCTATACATCTATCTCTCTTACAGTCTATGAGAGATGATATACGCACACTTTATACTATCCCAAACTTTCAATTTGGATTCAGCGCTAACCACTTCTTACAAAATGAATTGATTGGAACAGCAACCTTTAAATCACAAGACCCTAATAAAACAAATAGGTACGCCATAGGCAAGTACGCCATAACCATAATGTCTTTGATCAGGCTTAGCCCAAGGTAAAGGCAACGTAACCACCCAAATCATCTGCTGTTTTCAGTAGCAGTAATGCATTGATTAGTGAGCAGTGCAGTAGTGCCGAGGGGCTCAGGAGGCTGAGATTTCGAAAGCCCTGAAGAAGACATCAAAAATATTGTCGAAAGCTTGGCGCAGTTACAATAGACGCAGTTCAACCTCAAAGCCTGTTGAGTTTAATACTAATTCTTTTAATAGTATTAATCTTAGATTTAGGTCTATATATATATATATATATATATATATATATATATATATATATATATATATATATATATATTTACAGATTGAACGAAATAAATTCGGAACATAGGAATATAATGTATTTCGGCTCAATTCTGCTGTAGGTGGTTGGCCAACAAAAGATTGTCAAATAATTATATTATAAAAATCCCATACTTCAGCGGGCTGCTGGATTAAGAACTCATAAAAATTGAAAGCTACACATAAATCTACGATTTTATTATGCTGTCAAACCAGTTATAGTCCAGGAGATGAAGCATTTCACCTCGCAATTTTTTCGTGCTGCGTGGGTTGACTTGAAATTTAACAGAGGGTAGGTAATAGCCTAAGAATCAAAATCTATATCGAACCAAAGTGCGCCAAAGCCTAGGGGGTGGTTGCCACCCCATCTCCGGGGTGAAAATTTTTTTACGTTTTAACTACAGGTTCATAAACATTTTTAATAAAATGGTGCATTTTATCAAAAAAATTGTAGAGAACAAATTTGTAGCTTTTAAAAAGACAAATACAATTTATTTTTTAAAATGTTTTTGCGATATAATAGGTACCGAAATACGGCCTATCAATGTTCAGCGGTTTTCTTCAAATGCCAAATTTGAAAGATTCAAAGTCAGATATCGGGAAAATGATGCATTTTTGGAAGAAAACTCACAAAACCTTTTTTAAAGAGCATAAATAGACCTATCATAAAAAAAGACTCTAGCTCAAAAATTGAGTGAGTTATGATGAAAATAAGGTCAATACCTCATTTTTTACGAAAAAAATCGATGAAAACAACCTCCTAACCACCCCCATAATTAAAATCGATCTTCACCCTTCTGCAATTCCCTTTGTACATGTATTGTTAATACGTCCAAGAAGTTTGACCCATTTAAAATGCTTAGTTTTAGAAAAAGTACAGCTTAAAGCGAGAAACGATTTACAATTTCATACTTTTTACCCTTCTTTTTTTAAATATGCCCGAAAATACTGAATATATAAAAAAAATAAAAATGACCAAATTGTAGCTTTTTTATTGACTAAAATTATCTTTTATTTAGATTTGTTGTACAATGAATATTTGGCGAGATATAGCCGTTTAAAGCATCGATTTACGATCAAGCACCATCTTTTTCGAGCCCTTTAAACTCACCCCATTTAAAAACCAAGGGTTCCAAAAAGATTTAATTCACAGATCCTTGTAGCTCTTAAAAACCCTCTACAAATCGTTTTTGAAGAAACACTCTATCGTTAAAAATTAAAGGAAATACGTTAAAAAAACCAGTTAATATTTTTCCGGAAAATTCCATTAGTATAGTACAGTACATTTCGGAGCATAATAATCTACAAAACCGGTATATTAGCTAGTGGGGCGTTATACATTCGAAATTTTAAGAGTTCTTATTTTGAAATCCCATACAACAGAATAAAACATCTGCTCATATGTCTATGGCTTGGCAATGAAAATATCAGAGCAACAGATTGGGGATGGTATTCCAAAGATGGTTTGTTATTACCCGTACGCGTGAACAAACAACCTGCACCCGATGAACTTTTGAAAATTATTTTTTGCCAATGCAAAAAAGGATGCGGCGTTTCATGTGGGTGCAGAAAAGTTGGTTTATACTGTAACTCTACTTGTTCTGGGTGCTCAGGTGAAGGGTGCAATAACAGTCCACCAATAATTGAAGAAGATGAGGATGACATAGATCACGATGAAGATGTAATTGATGACGAATAAAATTAATATTATAATTGTTTTACCTATAAATGTAAATATTTTCAACTATTCAACTATTTCAACTATTCAACTATATATTCATATTTTATGTAAATGTATAAGAATATAATTATGGTGCTTTTTTATGTTGATAAATTTTTTTGTATTTAATTCTACTTTTTTCAATTTATATCTTATAAATTAGTTTATAAAAACTGCAATGTTGTAAAGAGTGATTTTCATAAGTTGAAAAGTTGCAAAATTTTGGCAAAAAATTGTTTTCACCTATAGCACTCATAATAATTGATTTTTAAGGGTTGAAAATGTATGAATTTGTATTTTAAAGTATAAAAAAATCACTATTTAACTAATCCAAACCAAATTTCACTCATCTTAAGATTTGTAATAATATTTTACAATTTTTGAAAATTAGGGGTAGTTTTCAGCCCTAAGAACAATCAGGGTTCATCGGCATGACATAAACTATAAAGCAGAGGGTGAGTTGAGGTTAATTCCAAATTTTTATGCAAATCGTTCCAAGGTGAAATCATTTTCTTCCTATTACTAATTTTTTTATATTAATCTCTAATAAGGGTCGCTTTTTAAAAGTTGAAATATGATGGAACTTTATTCAAAAGCACGAAACTATCATTATTTAATTAATTCAAACCAAATTTTACCCATATTCAGGTTTAATATATTATTTTATAATTTTTGACAATAAGGGGTAGTTTTCACCCCTAAGAACAATCAGGGTTCGTCGACATGACATAAACTATAAAGCAAAGGGTGAATTGAGCTTAAATCCAAATTTTTATCCAAGTCGTTCCAAGGATAAAACATTTTTTTTAGAATTAGTAATTTTTTACATTAATCTCTAACAAGAGTTGCTTTTTAAGGGTTGAAATATAATGGAACTCTATTCAAAAGTATAAAATAATCATTATTTAACTAATTCAAACCAAATCTTACCCATATTCAGGTTTAATATGTTATTTTATAATTTTTGACAATTAGGGGTAGTTTTCACCCCTAAAACCCTTCAGCGCACTTCTGTTCGATATAGATTTTGATCCTTGGGCTATCACCTACCTTCTGTTAAAATTTCAACTGGATACATGCAGGACGAAAAAATTGCGAAGTTTTAACTTTTTTCGAGCTTCATTTCCTGAACTATTATCGCTTCCTTAGACAAACCCGTCTTGGGCAAACAACATTGTTACGAGCCAGATAGTTGAACGATATTTTATACAATGTCTATACCCAGATATGGATTTATTTTTGTCCAAGTTTTATATTGGTCCACTATTTCAAACGCAGTTCAAACAGACATGGATTAAATTGTATGTTCCGTTTTAATTTGGTTCAATCTATATATATATATATATATATATATATATATATATATATATATATATATATATATATATATATATGAAACAATATTCATTATTATTTTGTAACTTGTACTTACTTGTAATATACAGCCTTGAATATTTTCCTTAAATGCTAATTGTTGTTGGTACCAAGGATCTAGTGTTCTTCGAGACGTTGTTGTTTTCGCTTTAGCTATACATTTTTTACCATTAACTAGATATACTTTTACATAAGGAGCTGAAACAAAAAACACCACAGTTATTTTCAAGACAATTATGTCATTAAGTAAACAATTTATATTGTATAATATTAATGAGCACTGTTTGGATTATTTAAACTATGTTTCGCAAAGTTAATATTTCGTTGCAGTAATTGCTATTGCTAATCTCTTGTCGTACGCGTTCAAATGTGTCAGATGAATTTGCCCTACATCTAATTGTATGAAGTGCGGTGACCGAGCTGGCCATTCAATCGAATCTCGTCGTTCAATCCATCTACCACGATATTTCTTGTCGGAGTAACGTCTTACTGCACCATACTCGTGTGCAGAAGCACCATCTTGTTAAAATGTTATTTCAAAGTTGCCGAATTAATATGGATTATCTTCCAAAATTTCAAGAATTATCAGCTATGTGGTTTCCTTAAAATACTTGATCAAATATTACCTTTTTCTGGAAATTGAGTATGTTTTTCACGAAAGACCTGAGGATTTGTATCATTCGAATACCTTTTATTGTGTGTGTGTGTGTCATCTAAAAGTTGGTTTTAATTTTTTTTTGGTTGTTAATTAACAATTTTTAATTTGTGTGGATAAAATTTGTTTTTAGCTTATACTTGTTGTACTGATAGACGCAACTTGGGCTGTAGAAGAAGTAAGGTTCATCACCAATATTATTGAGACAGCTGCTACTTTTTTAGCTACAGTACGTACCATTCTGCCTATATAAACGTTTAAATGTCCCAATAAACAATATTTAAACTAAATATTCAAAGTATAAACACTTTAGCAAAGTGAAAACAACTAGAGAATTGAAAAAGTTAACCTTTTTAAGAAACAACTTGAGGCGGTAACTTAAGACGTCAGAATCTTTATTAATAATATATGAAACTTCTTCTTCTTCTTCAGATGCAAATCCACTAATGGATGTTAGCGATCACATTTTCCATTAATTCTCTATTTCTTGCAATATGTATCAGAGATTGTATGTCGTTAATCCCTGTCCATTGCCTTATGTTTCGGAGCCAGGACATTTTCTTGCGTCCCATTCCTCTCTTGCCTTTAATTTTACCCTCGATTATAAGTTGGAGGAACTGGTATTTTTCATTTCGCATGATGTGACCTAGATACGCCGTTTTCCTTTTCTTGATGGTTTCGAAAAGTTGGCGTTCTTGGTTTATTCTTTTAAGGACATCTATATTTGTGATTTTCGCTGTACATGGTATTTTTAGGATACGGCGATAAAGCCACATTTCTAAAGCTTCTAATCTGTTTATATCCCTCGTTTTGAGTGTCTAGCCCTCTACGCCATATAGCAGCACTGACTATATGTAGCACTTAGTAAACCTTAGTCTCAGATGAAGATCGAACTCTGAACAAGTCAGTACCTTCTTGAATTTTACGAAAGCTTATCGAGCTTGCTCAATGCGACATTTTACTTCCCTGTCCGATGCCCAGTCTTCAAAATGCCACGATCCCAGGTATTTAAATTTACTCACTCTTTCAATATATTTAGTATTCAGTGTTATGGTGGAGTTTTCAAATGCATCCAAGTTTCTGGAGATGATCATGAATTTGGTCTTTTTGGTATTAATCTCTAATCCCATTCGCTTACTGTATTCTCCAATTATTATGAAATTATATTATATTATGAAACTATATTTTAGTATTTATACACATTGTTTTAAACCACAACAACTGTGCAGTATACAATGCTTATAAGTTACTGGTAACAGAAATAATAGAGAAAGTCGTACAGGTATGGCGTACCTATAAAATAAACATTGATGAAAATGATTATGAAAAAGAACCGGAGATTACATTGAAAGAAATTGAAGTTGCTGTAAAAAAATAGTACAACATAAATTTCCTGCTGTAGATGCAATTTCATAAATATGGGGAAGACTGGTTTAAAAGTAGCACCTTACTTATGTCAACTCATATGGACAAGCTGAAATGACTGGACAACCTCCGTAATTGGAAAAAAGAGGACTAGCCCAAAACGGAAATGGTTTGACAAAGCATGCAAGGAAATTCTGGAAATAAAAACAAAAAAAAAAAAAAAGATTTAAAATGCTACAAGACCCCACAGATAAGAACAAAACAGATTTTAACAGAACAAGAGCACAAGGCGACTATTCAGAACTAAAAAGAGGATCTACCTAGAACAGCAAATCCGGGATATGGACAGAAGTGGCGAGAGAAATCAAATAAGGAAATTCTTTAGTGAGGTGAAGTCAGTCAGAAAAGGTGCAAGTGTTGGAGTAACACAGCCTACGAGAAATGAAGCAGGTGAACTTATAATGATAGAAACGGAAATCGTCGAACGATGGAAAGAATACTTTCGGAATTTACTAAATATTGAAAGTGAGACAAAGGAAACAGATATTACGTTTCATTCTGCAGATATCAAAATACCAGCACCAACACTTGAGGAAGTAAAGAATGCGATCGCATCTCTAAAAGACCATAAAGCACCAGGAAATGATGGCATAAATAGAGCGTTGTTAAAAAAAGGAAGAAACCTTTTACACCAAAAATTGTATGACATCATTCTGAGAGTATGGTAACAACAGAAAATGCCTAGAGAATGGAATGGAAGCATGGACGTATAAACACAGATGGACTCAGTTATTTACATAAAATTGTGAAATCAAAATTATTTGAATATGGCACATTCTCAGCACCTTCAGCTGTTGTCACGTTTTGTTTTAAAATTTCTTATTCGCGAGTCGCTGAAAATATTACTCCGTATTTTATACTCTACAGGTGCTATCAAACCAAAATAATAATTTATTGGTTAGATTAATATATTTAATTGTAATCAAAATATAAAGTGTGCACATAGTGTGCATTATCATTTAATAATAACGTATAATTTAGATATCAATCAATTATTTTATATGTAGAAGCACTGAAAACTATTTATAAATTGCATCGGTTGTTTACATTTCTCTGTCTTATGGATCTACGTCAAACTTCAAATGCTGTTCCATGTTTGTTTACTTTTTAGTAAAAGTTGTTTTTCGATATTTTGGCTGTATTTTGAGTGATATTTGTGAAAAGTGAAATAAAATAAACGAAATATTTACATCCCGATCTCTCATTTCATTTGTAAGTACATAAAATTTACATTATTTAAGATGAGGAAATGAGGAAGCGTGTTTGTTTACATTTTAATAGGCGTACCATTGGGTTTATTCATGTTCATTAATGTATTAAATAGGATATAAGTTCATGAAGTTTCTTCATCTGATTAAAAAAGATCTATTTAGTACCTCTTTAATTTAATATTTCTCATGAATGCAAATAAATTAGTGAAATGAATAAAACTCATTTATTTTTCTATATAGGTTTCCAAATAATATTGACGATCGAACTATTTTGGTAACAAATTTAGGAGAAAACATAAAGATTTTTTATTGTAGCATTATTTTGATACCTATTAAAAATTAACTTGAATTCAACTATATTTTATTGTATTAATTTTAAAGCAAATAAAATTGTATTTTAATTTGTCTACAAAGACGTGATTTTTTAATAGTTAAACTCTCGTTTTTTTAAATTCTTTGAACGTGTTTTTATACATTATTACTACTTCCAATTTTTAAAATCTGAATAATTACCCGCGAGTAATAATTCAAGCACGCTTATGCTCATTGCGGAAGCATCACATTCTATCGAAGCTTCAAAACATTGTGTGTTAAAGGTATCTTATTGCTGTGTCCATCTATGTTTATACGTCCATGAATGGAAGCGTTATAATTCCCATATGTAAGAAGCGAAACAAAGAACAATTCCGAAACTATAAAGGCATATCACTTATTAGCACATCATATAAAATGGCATCAATTATTTTGCTAAAGAGACTCACACTATATTCGGAAGATATTCTAGGCGACTACCAATGCGGCTTTTATGCTGGTAGGTCAACTATAGATCAGATATTTACCATCCTACAAATATTAGGAAAAATTGTGAATTCATCTGCTATGTGCACCAAATTTTCATATATTTCCAGCAAGCATATGATTCCATAAAAACAAACAAATTTTGGACAGTAATGTTAGAAATGAAAATACCAAGAAAATTAGTTGAATTAACGCAAATATGCGTGACACACTCATTTGCGCAAGTAAAGATGGGAAGCAGTACATCGATGCCATTTGGTATAAGTTCAGGAGGGAGACCCCTTATCACCGTTGCTGTTTAATTTTGCTTTAGAATATGTAATAACTAAAATATTGTCTGACCTGACAGGAGGATTTGCTGATCAAGGATCAAAACTGTTGGTGGCCTTTGCTGATGATATAGATACAGTCACGCATTCTATAAAAGGCGTGAGAGAGGGGTTTTCACAGCTTGAGAAGAAAACAGGTAGTCTGGGTCTACGAATAAATGAAGAAAAGACGAAATACATGGTAGTATTATAGTTAAGTTCTTAACATTATTAAGATCCAAGCTGCTAAAAAGAAAATCTAAATTAACACTGTACAAGTCGATTATTCGCCCAATTATTACATATGGTAGTGAAACATGGACTCTCAACCAGCGGGAAATCAATAAGCTTCTAAAATTTAAAAGAAATGTTCTCAGGTGACTTAAAAGAAAGGTGTGGAACTGAAAATAGTTAGACATAGTTAGACATCAAGCCAAACCAAATAAGATGAGCTGGTTACGTGGTAAGATCCAAGGATGACAGAGTATTAAAGACAGTGTTTTTTGAAGGACCAGATGGTAGAAGAATGGTAGAAGTTTTAACTATGCTTCTGAAACGTGGCGATCACCAACCCAATGGATTGATACAATCAAGAAGTTATTCAACACGAACTTCGTTAATTAGGTACTTGCCACCCAAAAAAATTGATAGATGAAGAAACAATGTAACCAATATGATCCCTTAAGGAAACGCAACATTCATTGGTAGGAAGGATACATTGAACGGTTCAAACATTTTTGGGATACCATAGATTAAAAAAACAAAAAATCATTCCAATAATTTTATTTTGCAAATACTATATATACGTGGTGACATTATAATTGACTTTTTAATAAACGCTTTAAATATAAAGACCAAGGCCAGAAAAATTATAAATATTTTGAAAAATTGGAATCATTTTACAATGGCGACTTCACCAAATAATAACTAGCAGTACCTCCACCATATATTTAAATGTTATAGCCAAAGTTTTATCAGGCAACTTTCTAATATATAAAAATTTCAAAAGCAAATAAAGTTATTTTCATTTCTTCTGTACATTTGTTTTCTAATTTCCTTATATATATATTTTTTAAATTATCTGAATATTATTTGAAGACATTTTAATATAGTTTATATTAATAATATAAATATCTAACTTGTTTTTCACACAAAAAGTTTAATGTTTTTAGCATTTAAATTATAAATTAATATGTTCAGGTAAATCTATGTTTCGGCTAATAATAAACATGGTTTGCAAGTAGCAACATAGTATTTTTGATGCCTCTAACAATCTTTTTTCTTGAACCACATATAACTAATTGCTAACAGGTTTGCTGAACGAAAATGTAAGCTGAGTGTAATTGTTTCTTTTTTTTATTTATTTATGTATGTATTTTGGTTTTAAGAGGTTTCCTTGTCCCTCACACAAAAGACAAGGTGGAGTCCTTTTTCCTTTTTATTTGGTTTCATTTTTGCCCATTTTCTTTGTTAGTTTGATTCATTTTTTTCTTTCTGACTTTTCTGAGTATCTTCTATTCCTAATAACTGACCTATAGACCTTTGTCCCAAAGCCCGCCGTTATGTCCTTCAAAACATCTGAGGACCGGTTTGCATAGTGAATGATTTAGATGTAAAAACCTTTACCTAACTATTCTAAGACTATATTCCAACTTTCCGTTGGGTTAATTTTTATATTATCCACCGCAATGTCCATTTTCTGAACATCATTTCTTCCCATCTAGGTTCATTGTACGTTACGTATTGTAACCACTGTTCTTCTTTATCTATATTCTTCATCACGTTGATGCATTTATTGTTATTCTGGATGCTGTTGTTTCATTCATCTAACAATGGTCTTACTTTCATGTTTATATTAAAGACGACTTGTACTTTGCTCTTCCAATACTATTTATACTTTTCTAGTAAGATGATATTTTTCTTTCTCTCTTTATTTAATTTAGAGTTTGAGCAACTTACTGGTGTTTTCTTTGTTGATTTAGAAATTATTTACCGGTATAAAACGAGTCGTACTGTAATCACTGGGTTTAATGTACATTTAGCATGTTGTAGTGGAGTTGATATCAGAAAATTACTGCCTTAATTAAAATCATGTGTTCAATAAATTATTTCGAAAAAGGGTACATAATTCTTACTTTGAAACACACGGCAAAGAAAATGGAACTTCATAAGGCTTAGTACTTAGTCCTATGTTGTTTCTGGTAGCAATAATTAGTACCATTCATAATCTTCCCAAACCCCTAAAAGCTCGATTATTCATAGACGATCTTGTTGTGCATATTACAGGTAAAAACATTAAAATTATGACAGAGACATTGCAGTTAATGTTAAATCAGTTAGAAGAATGGTCAGCTAGTACGGGTTTCAATTTTTGGTACCAAAAACCTCGGCAGAATTCTTCACTAAAAACCTCTATAAGCCTATCGAACATTGAAGTTGTATAACTCCACAGTGTCATTTAAACCATGCGCAAAATTTCTGGGCGTGTGGTTTGGTTAAAATCTGTAGAGATAGGAATATATAAAAGAGATCATTGGTTTCTAATAAAAATTGTGTATTATTTAAATGTTAGGTAAGAAAATAGCTAGAATAGAAAAAAAAATGAGAAAGACCAGAACGAAGTTAAAGAAGCTAAGTAGACGATAATGTAAAATACCATGGAATTAAAGAAAACGATGTTTATAATATTTCCTTAAATAAATATTATTAAGGGAGTGATATATTATTCATAAATCGTGGTATTGTTTATACGCCCGCTCTTATTTAATAAATCTTCAAGAAAATGTCATAAAGTGGTCCAAGGATTTGAGGTAGGTCACAGGTTACCAAAGGTATCAACAATTCTAGATTGAAATATCCCAAACAAATAGATAGCTGTTATGCAAAGTTTTGCTATGTTTAAGAATTCTATCAGGCCCTTTGATACTTTATTGTATCGGTTTATTATTACTATGATCTAATTAGCCGTTTTGTAACGATAGTTTTACGAGAGAGGAATTTTCTAAATTTAAAGAAATACTTTCTTATATAATATTTCTTTTTAAGAATTTAGAATGAAAAACTCAGTTTATAGTGGATCTATTTACCTGGTAACACTTTCGAACCGGCTCTGGACTGCAGATCTCGCGCTCGAACAACTTCAACCTCCAAAAACCCTTTTTGATGACAAAGAGCTAACTGGATATCTCCTAGAGACGGTGATCCCAACACTTGCCTGCCTACTAGCTGTCCAGGACCTAAACCTTCGATAAATTCTGCTAGCTGACCTTCACCAGCTGCTGTTAGCCGCAGCGAAGGCGACCACCTAAACCGAAAAGCATGCCGTTAGTTTAAAACAGATGGTGTATAGGAAGTAAACAAGTGAAAAGAAGAAATATTTACTTTAAAAGAATTACAGTAAAGAACTGAGAGGATAATATCTTACAATACAAACTTTTGTACACTAACATTTATTGATTTTAGCTTATTGTTTGATGGCAATAAGTAATTTTATGATAGTTTAAAAAAGACTAAAGTTTGTTAAAGAGTTTCTGTTATGATATACAAAAAATAATTAAAAGTAGATTAATGTTAAGTAGAAAAAGTATAAATAATCAATTTTTTTATAAAAAAAATACAATGAAATACCTAAAAATGTCGAAATTACTTAGTACGTTTTTAATGTTTCACAAAACATATTTCACAAAATTGGAGAATAGCCAATACCATGGACTATAACAAAAATAATTAGACATCGCTAGAAAAATACAATATTATTTAAAAACCAAATATTTAGCCAAAAATTACTTTCAAAAGTATTTTAGGTATTTAGATTTACAATAATTATACAGTTGTTATTAACAAATGACAATATTTAGTGGGGTACAAAGAGGAGCCTCCATGAAGATTACAGTCTTAACCACCGCAATATGATGTATACTGGAAAATAATTAATTAGTTAATCGGCAAATCTTTTAGTCACCAGTTTCACATGGTTTTGTCAAATCGGCCTTGTTTAGGATCAACTATTCTAAGACTGTCAATACAAGTATTTCAAGAATGCATAAACACAAGCGAAATCCCTACAGAATGGAAGATATCATACCTTAGTACTATACATAAAAAGGGTGATAAAAATAATTGTAAAAATTACCGAAAAATAGCTGTAAGTGGATCTATGAGTCGAATATATGGAAAGGGATCTATGAGTCGAATATACGGAAAGATTTGAAAGGACTGAATCGAGAGAGAATACTTAGATTATGAAGCAGAAGAACAAGCAGGATTTCGTAAAGGGTCGAAAGGATGTTGTGTGTTTCCCAGTTTATTTAAAATATACCCTGAAAGTGCTTTAAAAAGATGGAAACAAAAATGCAGGACAATCGGTATACCGCTCACCAAAACCATGGTATATATGCTCAACTTTGCAGACGATCAAGTAATAATGGCTCAATATTATGACGATTTAAACTTATATGGCACGAAAATTAATTAAACAGTATGACTTATGGGGTCTAGAAATTAAGAAAAAGAAAACCGATTACCTAAGCATTGGGATAGAACAAAAAGATCACATATTAGACCATAAATTAGACCATAATAAAGCATTGGCTATGAATACAAATATCTAGGTATTATTATTTCACAAGATAGAACATTAGACAAAGCCATAAGAGAGAGAAATATGTCAGGGAGAAAAGCTATCACAATGTTAAACAACATTTTATGGCACCAATCCATCAGCAAAGAAAATAAAAAAAGGATATATGAGCTATAGTAAAAAGTATCACTTTATGCAGCTGTGACGTATGGCCACTGAAAGAGAAAACACTGACAACGCTTAAAGCAACGGAAATGAATCTTTGGAGAAGATCCGCAGCAAGATCTAGAAGAAAAAGGATTACTAACGAACGCAGTAGAAAAATAAGGGAAATCAAACGAATAATCATAGATGACCTAACAACAAAGCAAGTTATCTGGTTTATACACATACAAAGAATGGATGAATAACGAATACTACAAGAAATAGACCTATGAAACAACCGGACTAAGTGGCGATTGGAAGTCAGAAAACGGCGGAGAACGTTATAAACCGACAAGTAGTAACAATACAAATATTAAAGATAATCGCTAAAAGATCACGTTATAAACAGAAAAGTATTATCTTTGCCCAACAGTACACAAGCCCCCTGGGAAAGATTTCATTTTCACTTAACCTGAAAATTTTAACTATCATAACAATAACTTTATCCTTGCCGATTTTAATTGTCAAAGTTCTGCATGGGAATAAAAAGAGACTGATGGCAATGGTAGAGGGTTGGAGCTATGTGCAAATTATGCCAAACTACAACTTATATACTACGCCAAACTTCCATCCCTTTTTAAAGACGCTGGAAGACAATACACCATTGGAGCCTCGATCAGTTCAAAAAGTACGGGATGCAATAAAACACCTAAAAAACATAAATCTTCAGGAAGTGATGGTATCCGCGGAACTTATTAAATGTGAAGGTGCTAATCTGACTAATCATATATATATTATATATATATATATATATATATATATATATATATATATAATTATACTGAGAGCCTGGAATGGGGAACAAATCCCAGAAAAGTGGTGTATTGGGATCGTTTGCCCGCTACACAAAAAGGGTAATCAGTTGGAATGAAGAAACTATAGGAGAATAATTCTCCTTAATGCAGCATATAAAATATTTTCAAGTATTTGATATGGTCGCCTGAGTGCATATTCAGAGGAGCTTCTTGGCAAACATCAAAGTGGTTTTAGGCCTGGTCGATCAACAACAGACCAGATCTTTGTGCTAAGGCAAATACTGGAAAAAACCAATGAATTCAACATTGACACATACCATCTTTTCGTAGATTTTAAATCGGCCTATGATAGTGTTCTTAGAAATAAAATATGTATGAAGCTATGGATGAATTCTACATCCCCGACAAACTGATAATATTGTTTAAAGCTATAATGCGTAAAGTTGTTTGCAAAGTCAAAATATAGGGCGAACAATTACAGGCATTTGAAACGCATGTTGTTCTGCGACAGGAAGATGCACTCGCGTGTCTCCTTTTCAACATAGCTCTGGAAAAGGCGATCAGAGATGCCCAAATAGACAACAAGAAATCAATTTTAATAAATCATCCCAAATTTTGGCATACGCAGATGATGTTGACCTAGTTGCCCGCACAACACGCAAGCTAGAAGAAATGTATAGTACCTTGTCAAATGCCTCAAAAAATAGGGCCTGCAAGTAAATGAGGAGAAAACTAAGATGATGGCATCAACACCCAACAATAGAGCCAGAAACATTGGCCACCAATTCAAGGCTGATAACAAGCATGATTCACATACTTAGGCTCCCTGATCACCAAGAAGAACGTCATAATGGAAGAAATCAAGCGAAGAATAATCTTAGCAAACAAATACTATTTTGGATTAAATAGACATATGAGAAGCAGAAAGTTAAGCCAGAAAAGAAAAATAACCATATACAAACCCTTATACAACCACTGTTGGCATATAGATCGGGGACATGGACCAGTTCCAAGACAGATGAAAACCTCCTGCTTATATTTGAACGAAGGATCCTGAGAAGAGTATTGGTGAATATTCCTGTGAAAATGGTGTTTGGAGAAGAGGTAAAACTATGAGATATATCAAAGATATAAACATATATTTGGTGATAAAGACGTATTATCTCTTATAAAAATAGGAAGACTAAGATGGGCAGGACATTTGGCAAGATCACAGCAGAACAACCCTCCAAGAAGAATCCTAATGTCACATCCTATGGGAAGTAGAAGTAGGGGTAGGCCAAAATTCAGATGAAGGGATGGTGTAGATGAGGATGGTAGAAAAATAGGCCCAGCAAACTGGCAACAGTTGACAATGGATAGAACTGACTGGCGTAATTGACTTGGATAGGTCGAGGCTCTTTTACAGGGCTGTAGCAGCAATGATGATGATGAGGTGGAAGACAGGATAATATCCGGATACAATTTTTGTACCTAGCCTAATAGCGCTTAGTGTAAAAAACCATATCGAAAATGCAATTACTCGCATCCAACACAAACTACTCATTTGTATTATGCGCGCTGCAATACCACAAGAAACGCCATTTAAAATTCTCAAATTGGGAAAAAGGTGCCTCGGATCTCGAAAATTTGCCCAATAACAGAAAACTATGACAAATTTGTCAACATTGTGAAAAGTATTTTTCGAAGAAACATTCCGCAAGGATGCCGGACTTACTATGTTCAAGGACTAACTCCAGACTCTGTTACATTACTTAATGGAACAGATGTAACTGGCGTAATGTCCGGGGTGCGGTTTAAATTAAGATGACCATTTATATACAAAATCTTATAGCACAGAAATCTGTACGCCGTAGAAAAAGATGTTTCAAATATAAAATGTAGCTGCGATAATTTCAAATTAGCACTTTTTGTGAAGAATAAACCATTTCCTTAGAAACAACACTTGAAGCGACCGTTGATTTTGAATGTCAGGTACGTGCGCGAAATCAATGTTCAATAAAATTTGTATGAGCTCGACGGTAAAATTTAATATCTTTTGATTCAAGTGTCCTACTGACAAAAAATAAGATGCATAAGGGAGAGTCCACCAAACTGGAATGGCAAGTATCAAGTAGCGCGAGCTTAGCATGTTACTTAAAATGTAACCAATGAACACGAATGATTCAGCGCACACCAAAATAACAGTAACGTCATTCATTCTAATCATTCGTTTCCATTAGTTACATTTTAAGTAACATGCTAGACGCGTGCTACTTGATACTTGCCACTTGCCACGCCAGTTTGGTGGGCGCTCTCACTTAAGTTAAAGAGTTCAGGTTTTGTATACAATTTTTGTATTTTGCCGCAAATAAACTTAGATTGTATAAAAGTGTTAAATAAATTTGCCATTTTTTTGCCATTTTTGAGGATTCTCATGAGGTCAATACAATCTATCTATCTAGAGCCTAACCTTCAAAACGTATAGTATGGAATTTTAGTTATAATTGTAATGATATAGGCGACGCATTTAAAATATGCTTAAAAAATGCTGAATTTAAACTTTCACAAAACAAATAATCTAAAACAGTTAAAAACTTTTTTTAAACTAGTACGTTTTTCAAAAGAACTAAACTTTTGCTATAGACTACATCCAAAACCCCATTTTTAGAGTCATTTTCCGTGACGTGCGATTGTTTGAAATGTAAAACATTAAATTCTGCATTTTTTATTCATATTTCAAATGCCTCATATTTGTTGCCACAACTCAAAATTGTTATTTTATGC